GTGGTACATCCAAGAGTTGCATCTTGAACGAAATAACTTCACCGAGTTGGACAACATATCGTTGATTAATATTAAGGAGCTGAAAAACATTTATCTTGATGAAAATCCCATGCCAGTATTGACAGCAGGATCTTTTCAATTACTTCCAGGACATGTAAGAGTACATTTAAAAAATATACGTGTTGAATATAAATGCGAACAGTGTACATGCGAGAATGAGGACGATGAGGATGATAAGAATGATGATTATGAGAATAAAAATGGAAATGATGATAATAGTAATGACTTTTTGGAATAAAAAATGTCTTGAAATTTTTAATTATATCTTTTAAATATATTTTGTTCTCAAAAAGATTTTATATGAGATAGACCAAATGAGATAGACCATCTTGATGGAAGTATATAATTATGGTAAATTTTTCTTACAGTAATTTAAGTTTTATTGTTTTATTTTAAAAAAGTGTTTCAAACAAATTTTATATTATTATATAAATATAAAAAATAAATGAGAACAAAAATTCAATATTTAAATTTACATTCAATTAAATAAAAAGTATCTAACAAAAAATTGTTTACTACTTAGAAAAATATACTTTAAGATAATTTTTATTTTTATTAAAAATATCGGTTTTAATAGTTTTAAAATATTCCAAACAAAATTTGCTAAATAATAAAATAAGTATACACGGAAAAAAAAAATTTGCTCAATTTGAATAAATATTTTTTTCAATAGTACTAACAAAATATGTACTTACAGTAAATAAGTATTTACTCAAAATAAAAAGTTATGCTTAAATAAATATGTGTTTATATTTAGTAAATATTTTTTTATAGTTAGTACTATTGAAACAAATATTTACTAAAATTTAGTAAATTTTTTTTCAGTGTACTTTAGTTTTAATTTTGCTAATAAATATCTTTAATGAAATCACCTTTTATTATGTAATTCGTTTAGCAAGAACTTACATAAATTTGCAAATAATTTTGTTTTTTATCACAAATAATTTACGATATAAATAATTAAATTTTAATTTCGTAATTTACAATTAGTTTTACAAATGGAAATCAAATAATAATCATTATCGCTTTGTAGTGCTTCATACGCTTAATGAATTACGTACTTAAAGCAAAGTACATTATTCGAATTCATTATATTGTTATTGTACTTCGCTAATACTTTATTATACGCTTGATCATTTTAGGCATTATTGTGTATTGCTTTATAAGATAAGATAATTATATAATAAATGCGTGCATAATTATATGTTTTTTGCTTGTATGATTTTTAAAATAAAAACATTTTTTATAACATTTTATAACTTATATATATTAGTATATGTAATTAGTAGATGTAAAGTTATATTCACATAAATATTCTCATATATCTTGTTAATATTAACACATAGACTTATTTAGTTGTCTTTTAATTTTTTTTTTTAATTCATTCATTGAACATTTAATTTATATTCATGAAAAGTTGTTCATATTTTTTCAAAGATTAACAAAAAAAATTATTCTAAAACTAACAGTTTACATTTGTAAAATAACCGATAACATCTTCTGCCAGTATTTAAAAATTTGTTAATGTGATGCATTTGCAATTTTTTAAATATTTATTATTTCGCAGCATGAATTAACGATAGCGACGTCGCAGAATAAATGCAAATATAGTGCATGAAACAAGCGTAATATTTAAGCTCGTGCATATCAAAATTCCAGAAGTCTCTACGATTTCCACGAAGATGGTAAAATCTTCTACTTCATTTTTTCCCCATTCCGCATTGCGAAGTCATCCTACTATAAGATTAAACGCGATTATTTCATGTTGTGCAAAAGTCAAAAACATTTGTCTTCCGTCGCATTTAAATTATATATAAATTATGTTTATATAATCTTATACACAGCTAGAAATAAAAAGTAATGCCATTTTACATTTTTTTTTTAATGACGGCATTTCTTTTTTTGGAACTATAACGTTATTTTAGTTAACTAATTTTAATTTTAATTAACTAAATTTAAGTTACTTTTTACATTTTAAATCTATTTGTGACATAACTTTCGTGTATTTAATTTTTAGTTTTTAATTAATATTCATAGTCCATTATTACATTCCATATCCTCTGTTAATCCATTTCAATCGTTCCAGATAACTCGATCTATGTGTTTTTCTTTGTAAATATATTATAAATCTCTATGTAATTCAATTGTAAATTTCTATATATATGTATATAATGAGCATTAAAAATAGGAATGTATCAAATGTAATCAGAGCTACAATCGTTATCAATTTTGATGAATCATCAATTAATTAATCAAAAAATGATTACATTACAAATTCTACAAATGTATTTTAATTACATACATTATTAAATTAATCAAAAAGATTCTGAAAACCTTTTATGAAATCCACATTTATTAATTAAGGATAAATAAAAATTAATTTTACCGTGTCGATTGATATTCACTTTCATACAATGTAATATTTTATTAATAATTTACATTTTTGCTAAATGCTTTGTAATTCTGAAAGAATTGTTTTTTAATAAATACTTTTATTACAAAATGTAAATTTAAAATGTAAGTAAATATCAATTTCATAAGAACAACAATAATTTTTTATTTTATCTGTGTAATGTATGTAATTAATAACGAATTTCAATAACTTGATTAATAATGATTTCACTGATCAATGTTAAAATAATCAGAAAAATAATCAATTATTCTGCCTAATATAAAGTCGTTGTACTTGATCTAGAATTTATCCGTGCTAGCTAGATGCAAGATACCAAGGCGAGCTTCTACCCTTTTCAGGGTGTATCTTGCGCACTGGGTGGCGCACATGCGCGATCATGCAGAGAAAATCGAGGTATGAGAAGAGGGCGCGGTACAACGAGAACAGGAAGGGGATGGACACCCCAGTGTGACAAGGATCGAATTTTAAAGCAATAGCGCATACATAAACTTTATAAGAGGGAGAGATTCATTCAGATGTGCCAAAATTTTAATCTTAATTTCTTGTTTTAATAAATTCTTACACACGATGTTTCATAATTATTTTATAATTAAAATTTGTGTGATTAGTTTAAATTATTTTTAAAAATATTAATAATAGTTGTTTAATAATAAATCTCATTATGAGAATTTGATAGAATAAGAAATTGACTTTTTTCCTGGCATTCCTAGCTTAACGGATGGAGATGCAATGAGAATGCAAGCTCTAATAAGAATAGAGAACGTGGAAAGGAAAGGCATGGATAGTTTGGGAGTAGAATGGAAAGGATCTAAGAATGACAAAGATAATGATCTTGGAAGAAGAGAGGCAATTTGAATAGATTCATTTAAAACGATAATAATTAAAATTACATTATTTATGAGATTCACCCTTTTCTAAAAATGTTATTTTAGAACAGGAAAACTTTAAATTAAATTTATATGAGGTATAGAAAAATTAAGATATAAATTTAAGTAATTATTTTCAAAAGAAGCTGTCAAGATCTGGAATTACCAACCGAAATATTTTAAAAATAAATAAATTACAGATATATAAATTTCTTAATTACATAAATTAAAATTTAAATATTAAAGAAATGTTCTCGACATTTATTTAAATAATAATTTTTATTGAGACAATAAACAATCTCCTTTTTTTCTTTCTCTCTTGTATATATATAATCTTATATGCTTTTACAAACTCCTATGGCAAATTACTTTCTTGATATAAAAATTGTTTATATATTATCAAAATTTTGTTTGTATACTTCATTTTTTAATTAAAAATTATTTCTTTTTTTACTATACATACAAAAGTTTGTATTTACGTACAACATTTCTACACTTATTTAAAAAAATAGAAAATTATCTATCCTCTATATTATCTGTCACTTTCTTTTTTTATCCACCACTTTTTCTATACCTCATATTTATATCATTGTCCTTTGTTGAACCCTAACACTCCTTTACCTTATTTTTCCTTTCCTTCCTTTCTTTTTTCCCGTTCTCTGTTTATCCCCATTTCTGTTACGTACAATTCTTTGTATAAAAAAAACCTTATTTTTGATTTAGCATTATTTAGACGCAGATTTTCTAAAAAAATGTTATATACATATATACGACGTTGTCTGTTTGCATTTGTCAGACATGAAGTCAAATTATTTTATTAGAACATAGAAGTTACATGAGAAATTTGCCGTTGTGTATAGCCACCCCTGACATAAAATAAGAGAAAGAGAGATAAAAAGAGAGTGAGAGAGAGGGGGGGGGGAGGAAGAGAGAGGGAGAAAGGGAGGACAAAAAAGGTAAAGTGTTAGGGTTCGACGAGGATAATGATATAAATACGGGGTGAAAAAGCGAGGGATGAAAAAGAAAGAAGCTAGAAAAGGACAGCTGTATTCTTGTTACTCTGTATAAATGAATACAAGATACTCCTGCGCCATATAAAACGTAACTCGAGAGACGCGCATAGATACGGCATTTCTTCGGGAAAACGATGCAAACCGGAGATACCGCCCGTGAGTTCGGAGGTATTGTCGGTACAGCGAAGTCGACAAGGAGGGTAAAACACTTGATGTGATGAAGTAGGCGAGGATGGAGATACGCGACGAGGGCGGTGGTAACACCTAGTTGAGTAGACGAGGACGGTGGTATCGTCAGGTCTGGTGAGATGGAGAAAGACGGAGGTATCGTCACAATAGTGAAGTTGACAAGAAGGGGAATACTACCGATGCTATGAACGGGATAGGGACGGAAGTACCGCCGAGACAAGGTCGGCGATACCGTCGGCATGATGGAGAGGACCGAGATAGGAGTATCGCCGGCGCACTGCCGTCGACGAGGACGCGACTAGAGCGATACGGGAGAAGGCTAAAGGGCGAGAGGAGGAGGGCAAAGAGATGGGGTGGCCACGTCTGGCTAGCTAGCGAGACACCACTCCCCACTCGGTCTGGCCGCTCTCTCCTCTAGCCTCTTCTCTTTCTCTCACTCCTCTTTCAGTGTTCGTTCGAGCGCGGCCCGGTACGGTTCTGTTCTGTTACCCCGTCATGTCAGAGGGTCCGCTTTCGTGATGGGAGCTCACTGCCGCGGTAATATCGGTGGGTGCCATCGGTAGCCGATTCCCAACGCCGATATACCATTCTCAGTGTTATCCGTGTGGTACTAGCTTGTCTTTCCGGGGGTGCGAGCGGGTGTGAGTAAAGAGAGGGGTGTAAAGAGCAGGGCGGGAGTGCGTGAGTGCAGGGGAGGACAGGGCAGTGACACACAGACAAAAATACTCCAAGGCCAATTTGATTGGAGATACGATGTCGAAGACTTGATTAGAAAACGAAATTAGTCAGTGTTAGGAGGCTGAGGGAAAAATTAGCTGGTAGAAAATTGCAGCTCGATGGTATTATCGTTGTTGCCCGCGACTGGGGTAATTCTGAGACGTCATCGCCCTTCTTTCAGCAAAAACAAACACGCTTGCATCGCATGCGGAAGATTGGATTCGTTTACGCTTTTCGCACGTTAGAGGTGAATATCGGTTCGCAATTGACGGTAGTCAATGTTGATGTAATAGAAAGTAAAATTTATGCAAGAGAAACATAATAAATGAAAGAAGATAGTCTTTTAGAAGTGACTGATTATTTATCTCGAGGCTCGAAAAAAAAAAGAAATCTGTTTTTGCTTCTTGTCCTTTTCCTCGAAGGGGAAGTAAATTTTTAGAATTTTCATCCCCCGAAAACGAGCCGCGAGTCAAGATAACGCCGCGGGAAGATCGCCCTGAGTCAGTCCGAATGAAGAACGAGATCTTTCCACGCGGAGTTTTATTCCCGAAGAGACGGCAAGTAACTTGCTGAAAGAAAGTTACCGCGTCAAGTTCCAGCCGCATACAACTTTTGACACACAACTCTGACAATATGTCTGGGAACTACTCGGTGCGCTGCGAGCCGGGCCTAATGATACCGCTCTGGCGTCCGGAGAACAACTTGCATCTAATCGACATCATCTTCCGGGGCCTGGTGTACTTTTTTTTGCTGTTATACCTGTTCATCGGCGTGTCGATCATTAGCGATCGTTTTATGGCTGCCATCGAAGTGATCACGTCCAAGGAGAAAGAATTGGTGGTGCGTCGTCATGGGAGGGAGCCGCAGATCATCGTGGTGCGAGTGTGGAATGAAACGGTAGCCAATCTGACTTTAATGGCGCTCGGCAGTAGTGCTCCTGAGATCTTGCTGTCTATCATTGAAATTTGGGCGAAGAACTTTCAAGCGGGTGAGCTGGGCCCGGGCACGATCGTTGGCTCCGCCGCTTACAATCTCTTTGTTATTATTTCCTTATGCGTCTTTGTGATTCCCAATGGTGAGACCCGGAAGATAAAACATCTGCGCGTTTTCTTCGTCACCGCCACTTGGAGCATCTTCGCCTATGTATGGCTCTACGTTATCCTGGCGGTTTCCAGTCCCGGTGTACTGGAGATCTGGGAAGGCATCTTGACCTTCGCCTTCTTCCCAGCCACAGTATTGACGGCTTACGTTGCTGATCGACGACTGTTGATTTACAAGTATCTGCACAAAGGTTACCGAATGAACAAACGGGGTGTAATCGTGCAGGCGGAGGCTGGAGATTCCGAGATGGGGGTGGAGCTGGAGATCAAGCCTCAGCAAGATGGTTTTCATGGCATGGTGGACCGCCTAGCCGACGGCGATTCCCCCGAAGCGAGAGAGTTCGAGCAAACTCGCCGAGATTACATCAATACGTTAAAGGAATTGCGTAAAAAGTATCCTACTTTGGCTCTGGAACAATTGGAAGTTATGGCTCACGAGGAGGTGTTGGGAAAAGGTCCTAAGAGCAGGGCCTTTTATAGGGTGCAGGCTACGAGGAAGATGGTAGGCGCGAAGGCCGAGTTGCAGAAAGCTGAAGCGGAGAGTATCGATATCGAACATGTCAACGCCATGAGAGTATTTTTCGAACCTGGTCATTATACTGTGATGGAAAATGTTGGGACCTTTGAAGTGGGCGTTTCCAGGGCTGGAGGTGATCTCAACAGACCCTGCACTGTAGATTACTGCACCGAAGATGGCTCCGCTGAAGCGGGATCTGATTATGTGAGTGCCAAGGGCACTCTGACTTTTGAACCTGGCGAGACTATGAAGACTATCAAGCTTTCAGTTATCGATGACGAATTGTTCGAGGAGGATGAACATTTTTATGTGAGGTTAGTGATAATCACTTTTTTTTGCAAACATTTATGATGATAGAATATATAAAATGTTAGAGAAATTCGAACAATTTTAGCAAAGAGATATTAAGATCTGTTATTTTAAGATATGTTAAATGTTGGAAATAAGGAAAATAATAAAAATTAAATGTCATTCTGGTTAGTCCTCATATTATCAATAAAAATGGAGATATATAATGAATTGTGCAAAGATAAAAATAAGAAACAGTTTAATATTATTGCTAATTTGATGTATTATTTATAATTACTGAAAATTATATTGTATTAAATAAAATTTAAATTAAAAAATTGTATTAAATAAAATTTATAATTTATATAAAGCTATTATATTATTTTAGATTTGTATAAAACTTAATGATACTCATAATTAAAAAGTTAAAATATATCATTCTGACACTTCTTCATTTTTCATAATCAAAAAAATATAGCTTAAAATTGTTTTGTAAATTGCTTTGTTAAAGTTAGAACGGTAATAGGATATATTGATCAGTTAAAAAAAAAGATAAGAATAGTAAATGAGAGTCAACGTCGAAGCGCAGTATATTTATATATTTATTGTTAAAATTTTTCACAAGTATTGTAACCGCAATCGTAATCATGCAATTGTAATTGCGATACTTATATAAGATTTTAATAATAATCTCTAATCACTGTTTTCTGATAACCGCGTTCGCTTTTATTGTTTATTTTTATCTATTTTTTGTTCTACATGAGATATTTACGAATTGATACTTTTTTTAAATTGATTTTTTATTTCTATCGATATTATTTTTAAAGTTTCATTGTTTTATATCACATTTCTGAGAAATGTGGTATTTCGAAAGTTCTAACTTTAATATTTGAATAATTATATTAGGTGTTGGAATTAATTCGTAGCGTTTTATAATGAAAGAATGTTATTTATTTCACATGAGCATTAAAAAATACATTAATGAAAGTACTTCCCATCACTTGTAAAACGCTACGAATTAATTCCAACACCTAATATATTTTATATCAATAAAAAAAATTACAATTTACTACAATAAAGTCTACCTGAAATTAAATAAAGAATAAGAGAGATTTAATTTCACACATCTACTTATCTGATCCATCGAAATTTAATTTGCGGTAAATCTTATATTTTTCCAGTTATTCTTTCTTCCTTTTTCATATAATAACATTAATATAAAGTATGTTTATATATTTTGGAATATTGGGGTTTTATTATTTTTATCGATAATTTATTTCAAGAGGCTAAAAGCAATGCCGTAAGGCATCCAATATAATTATCGTGTGCTGATTAAGAACTGCAATTACATCAATATTCCTTTTTAAAGAAAGCATAATTCTTAAAATATATCTATATTGGATATAGTTCATTGTAGTCATACTAGATCATTGATCAGTGACGAAAGGGCAATCTTTCAATTGATTTCAAACGAGTAGTAGTTGCAATTTAATCAGTAAATAAGCTGTTATTGATTGATTTAATGAAAGATGTTAAGGCTATTAGCGTGACTATATATATATATAATACAATTAAAGTCGTTATGAATATTGTTAAATTTTAATATATGATATGATATATCGCTAACAATTTGTGTTGTGATTTTATGCTCTTTTTTTCACATTGTAAAATTGTTAATATTACTACATATAATATACAAGTTTGATTGAAAGATATAGAGATCCACTTAAAAAGTTAAAAAACAGTTAATTAATACATTGATGTGTTTAACACAATTAATTATTTTATTAATATCTCTTTATTTTATCAATAACTCTTATCTTTTAATATTTTCATTTATTAACACGATTTCATGTATTTTACATCATGTATTTAAAATATGTAATAATATATCTACACAATAATTAATATTAACATTAGTTTATAAATTATGTTACACAGATATGTTCACGTACATTTTATACATTTTATAGATTATTTAATTATCAACACATTTTATATTTGCCTCTTTTATATCATGTTTTCATTTTGTTTACAACAAATTTTTTGTTTGCTAAAGCTGAATAGCGGTGATATGAGAAAATGATTACTTAACCTTTGGACTATGTATTATATTTTTTGTATACACAATATATGACACTGAAGCTGTTAAATTAAGTTATACAATTGTTATAACTATTAAAAATATATCTTTTTGACAAACATTTTTCATAGAAAAATTGCAAGAAGAAGAAGAATGGATTTATATCTAATCGAATTATAAATTAATTTCTGGAAAACGCAGAAGAATCTTTGTACATAGCATATAAATCATAAACATTTAATGTATCTAAACGTTATGTTTTTTAAACTTATACTTTGTTTTCACTTAACATTGTCAACGTAAAAATGCAAAGAACTTGAAATTTTTATTGAATGCCACAAAAATAAAACTTGGTCCTCGAATTAAAGCAACGTGCTTATATAGAAAAAAATCACGGTAGAATAGTTTCATGACATAAAAATATACTTTTAGAATAACGAGAAATGTGAAATTATGGATATGTGGTTGATTTTAGATCTATTTCAGTTTCTCTATATTTCATCTTTTTTCGTTTTTTCTTCTCTTTCTAGTCTCTTTCGGTCCCGTTTTTTTCTTTAGCGATACATGTGTCTCTTTTTACATACAATCTATAGATCCCTCTATTTCACGCCACGATTGGAAACTGCAGGTTGTTCGTGTTGTTTCGGCTAGGTGACCCGATTATTTATTTCTGTTATTTGCAACTTTACTTCGCATGTCAGATTGCATCGCTAGGTCGCGCGGAAATCACACATGCATGTGCTATTAAATATATAAGTAAAACATGTACTGATAAACGTACTTGATAATTCGAATCGAGAGAAAAATCGGAGAAAAATAACAAAGTACAAAGAAGTTAAATTGCATTGTATTTCTGCATCAATTACGGTAATAAAAAGTTCTACCGATTATTAGTGATATAGGTCGAGGAGAAAACTATTGTTACTTGATAATCTTCGTACGTGTCATAATTATAAAAAAATCTAAAGACTCTGTTATAGGCATTAATAGGCTATTTTCTCACATGTACGTGAATAATTATAATAATGAAAAGTAAAACAGAACGATATTGTATATGTGATTATATTATATTATAAGTGGTAAGGCATTATACATCAGAATTACAAGGACATTTTATTTCTGTGTTTTTAGATATAAAGAAAAAAATATGAAAATTTAATACAAGTTAAATAAAAATTAATTAAATTTTTAGTACAAATGAAAGATCAAATATATAAAATATAATATATAGATATAAAATAATATTGTTGAGGAAAAAATTTTAATTATATATAATTTATATAATTATATATATAATAATTGTACGTATTATAATATGTATAATATATATCTATTATAAAAATTGCATGTATTACTTACATGTTATAAAGAAGATATAAGAAATTAAATAGAATAAATAGAATAGATAGAAAGTATCTTTGTATCAAACGAGACTAACAGATAAAAATAAAATCTTAGATGAAATACTCTTTTGAATAGCAAATACGAACGTTGAAATTATAGACCAGCTTACCTGTGAACTTGATTAAAGTATTCTATCCCGAATGACATGTTTAGATAGAAAATAAAAGATTTGTCGAGCTGCAAATTAAAACATGTGCAATCCAAGGTCAATTTAACAGATGAGAAATTCATTTGTATTAGTCATTGTAAAATCGATTAATAAATAACGCTTATTGTATAAAATTGACATTTTTGTTTTAAAAATAGATTTATTTTACAATGTTATCTCTTTGTTTGAAAAATTTTTAAAATTATATGTTATTATTGTGCCGAATTCGTGGAAGCGATTTTTGTTGTTGAAGTTAGTATAATTTTTCACAAATTAATGATAACGTTTTCTAATTTTCAGGCTTAGTAATGTATCACAACCAGCAATGCTTGTCTCGCCGAGCTTGGCAACGGTAATGATTCTGGATGACGATCACAGCGGCATTTTTGGGTTTCCCGAGAGAGATGTAGAACTAGTGGAAAGCGTGGGTCAGCATCCTCTACGGGTAGTGCGCTATAGTGGGGCCCGAGGTCGCGTTATTATCCCTTATCGTACTATGGAGGGCACTGCGAAGCCTGGCAAGCAATATGTGCATACCGAAGGCAGCTTGACGTTTGAGGATAATCAGACAGAGTGAGTAACATAGTTTCTCCTTTTTAAATTAGGAGATAGCTGAGTAAAATTCATTAAAAAAGAGACGAATAATTTCAATAAAAAGAATAAAAGACCTAAGTAGCACACAGCGCTTATAAAGCATCAACAAAGTACTAAAAAAGCATATATAATCGCTTTTTTAGCGCTTGTAAGCGCTGCTGTGCTACTTGGGGAATATTACAAAGCCATGATGTAACTCTAAATTACAAGGAAAAGAAATAAAATGATCATTTACTAACAAGCTAAAACGATACACGATTAATGCATACTTAGTCTTTTTTTAAAGAAGAGAAATTTAAAATGTTAGTCATTTAATCTATACATTAAATGGTATACTTCTATGTATAGACAGGTTAATAAACGTTTTAACTAAATTATTTAAAATAAAATTATTTCAAGAGAGTTTTTATCTCTTAAATTCTTTTAAAAGTAAAGAAGATAGTAAAATGTGATCAAATAAAATAATATACGTTTACAGATATATAAATTAATATTCTACTATAATATTGTACGTAAAAAATATATTTTGCTATGTTGTACATAAAAATGAGATATATAATAAAATAAAATATTTTATTTATCGAAGAAATTGAAAGCAAAGTAAAATACACACATAATAATTCTAGAATATATTATTAATTAATACAATATTAATACAATAACTGATAAATATATATATTATTTGTACATCATATAAAATAAAATTTTTTAAAAAAACTATAGTCAGAGAAAATGCTCAGAAAATGTGATGTAATTAAAGCTTAATGTGTTTTTAAGATCAATATTATTGTTGTATCAAATTAGTTTCATCAGACAGTATTATTACTCATCGTCACCAAAGGTTGTGTTAACGGTTAAGCGTAATGTAAGAATCGATCGTTATCACGATACAATCGGTAATTGGAAACTCGCGCCATATAATTAGATTATATCAGTTTACTGTGCCAATTAGCACTGTAAATTATCTGTAAAAAATTACATGATGGCATTTTAAAAATTGAAATGGATGGCATAAACGTAAAATTAAATGTAAAGAAGAGTATCGATTTACTATATGACATGTTCAACTTTTTTAAAAAGATGAACAAAGTAAATTCCATTATTTTTAAATGTCGTTATAATTGAATATGAATAGAAGTTTATAGGTGAATATGAAAAGAAGATTAAAACAAAAGTTCAATATGTCGAATGCAAAGAATAAAAATATTTTCACATTGTAATGAAATTAAAGGATTAAATATTGCATGATTTTTGAGGTTGTTAAAAATAATTAAAGTCTAAAATAATGGATATGATATAGCGAAGACAAGAAATAAAGTACCTTCAAATTATAATAAAAGTTTGTATTTACAAAGATATTTATATATTAATTGATGTATTATTTAATTTATGTATGACTGATGATTCGAATTTCCACCATTTCCGAAATTCTATTATACTATAGACAGATATAAATGTACCGAAATTTCCCACAACGTTCGATAGAATGCAGATCGCTTCTCTGTTGCAATTAACTATACAATATGGGATACTGATGTGATGCTGTAGCTAGCACAATGCATTTCTATCGCAGCTTTATCAGTAATTAGTGACTCGTAGGAGATAATTAGAAGGTCAGTCTAATACTCTTGCATAATCAGAACCTCGTTTGTAAAATACGATTCTCGATGACAGTACTAGATTTGCATTAAGAGATATTGCATTATATAATCTTTTTTATGACAAATTTTATTAAAGATTTTATATATAAACATTTAAATATTCCACTGATTTATTAGACTGAAAGCTACTTATGAGCTTTTTTTGTTGGTAAATTGTATATTAGTTTATTATTATCGCGTCTTATTTTTTAATATTATCTATAATGCTTTTTAAAAAAATTATTTAAAATTTTAATAAATTATTTGAATTACTTAAAATATATTATTATGAATCTACTTATATTAATTGTTTATATGTTTGCATATTACGTATTTATATATTTTATTATTTTTTAAATATATTTTCCATTTTAATATATTATGATGATATATATTATTTGTTGTATAACATACACGCGCGCGCGCGCGTGTGTGTGTGCTTTAAGTTTATTTGATTTTTATGGACGTTTTTTATGCATTTTATATTTGTTAAATACATTTATCGACACATATCTGATCGTGCCCTTTTTATTTTTTTAGTAAATATTATTCAAATTTTCATTGAATCTTGATTTGCAAGTGTAATACAGTTTATCCTTACAAATCTGTCTTTATTCTTAATCTAAATTCTAATCATTGTGTCGTAATACTCGATTCCGATATGTACAATTCTCTAATTTCTCGCGATTGTTCGTAGCCTCGCATTGCTTTACGGACAATGTTGCACGGGGATCGCTTTGAAAATTTCTGAATGCGTTTAAATTGAGGATTTATCTCATAAAATAGAATTTTAAGGAAATAATCGTATTTGAAGTTTAAAAAATTACTATGAAGAAATATAGAATATAAATAAAGCATGTAAAAAATATGATATACGTATTAATTTATTTTAATATATCAACTTTAAAGTGAGATTTTCTTTAAACAAACGATATGCGTTTTTATGAAAATAGTGACAATAATTTTACTGCTGGAGAACTTGTTTCTTTCTCACTATCATTAAAATCAAAGAGCATTGTTCATTAATTAGATCCGATTGTTTTTCGATTCGTTGAATTTCGATTGAATTTCGTTCGTAATCTTTTTTAGAGGTAATGCATTATTCTTTTATAATATCCCTAATTTATTTTTGAAAAAATAGAAGGAGAGAGACAAAGAGAAGGAGAGGGAGGGCAAGAAAGATTGCTGTACTAAAGAGAGATTTCTTTCTAGTAAACTTCCGTAAACTTGAAAATAAATCCCTCATAAACTTTCCATTCCTGCGCGATCTAGTTAAAGAATGTTCAGAATTTGCGAGATATTATATTGTTTCTCGAAGTGACCCACAAAAGAGATAATAACATTCTGCATCGAAAAATATTATGATCCTCATCTACTTTCTAACGAATGTTTAAGTAATCTTAAAATACGACATAAGAATTTGAAAATCAATTGACAGTTAATAATTACAGTAAAATTTATCAACTACTCAAAATAATTTAATATTAAAAATCAAGAAAATAATGCTAAATAAAATTTTTGCTGAAAATCGATTCCAAAAGCTTTATTTCTAGGGCGATGTATGTTGTTTCTATTCAAACAACAGGATATTTTATACTTAATACAAGCATTATTAATTAAACCAAATGTCAAATATCATTAAAAATAGAAATCTGTAATAATATAGCATCATAATGTAGAGATTACATTACCATGTTGCATTATAACTGTATTATTACAGATTTCTATTTTTAATAATAATAATATTTTTAATAATTGACATTTGGTTTAACTAATAATGCTTATATTAAGTGTAAAACGTTTAGTTGTTTGAATAGAAACAACATGCGTCAGCAAGATTATTTACAAATCTTAAAACTTTAATATTACTTAAAAAATAATTGTAAATATGGTTATATATTATAAAGTTATTTATATCTAAATTTTGTGCTTTTTCTTATGGTGCAATCAATCTTAAGAATCTTCAATCTTAATATCCAATCTTAAATCCTCAATCTAGAAACGATAAATTCTCTGACAATATTATTAAATTAAAAAATAAGTTTATACTAAATCCAAATTTGATGAAGAAAAATATAATTCACATTAAAAAGTTAAGTTTATTGATTTAAAAGGAGGTAGAGGGGACTCACGCACAGCTAAAATTAAATTGTTAAACATAGAAGTGTTTGCTGAGGGTGGTACTTTTTCTCTAAAGGGTATCTGAGAACTTTCGATGAGAATCGATGTAATTATATTGTACTAAGTTTTATTGAGTATATAATTTTTTTTATAACGTTATGTGAACAAATATTATTTTGTCTCTTATATTTTCTAATATTTGTTTAAGAAATAAATTTTACTTTTATTTATAATTTAAAACTGTTTTTTTACATAATATCTATTTATGACTGGTTTAGTATTTTAAAAGTTAACAGAGGAACAGCCGTGCCTGACTGATATTACTCGTGCTTACTAGAAACGCGCGCGAAAAGTGCGCTGTATTGAGGTCACTGGGTAATTCACGTTTGCACGAAACGTGCGATTGTACCTTTACGACCCTTTATTAGACACGTTTTTTCTATGTCTTTACCTTGTTTCATTTCCACGAGAGAGTTTAACTCGATAAAATTATTGTTGGTAGCATTTGCGATGAAAATTTACTGATGCTGAAAAATATGAGGGAATATATTCTATTAAAACTGTATGCGTTAACATTATAGTCAAAAAATTGCAAGGGGACAAAAGAATTGATCATTTTTTATTTACAAAAATATATCAAGATTAATGGATTATTTTGTGGATTTATTAGTTAGATTTTCTTTACTCTTCCTTTCTCTATTATATTATTCATTTATTTATCTGCTCTCTTATACATATTTCCTGGATTTTTCTCAAGATAATATAAAGCTCATATTTTCATAGGTCACTGTAGTGATCTTGACCTTAGCTATAACAGCACAATAATAAATATATGTACTTTCGTTTAAAAAGATACGAAATCTAAGGAAAAATAAATATAATAATAATATTAAAATAATAAAAAAGAGTTTACTATGCTTATTATAACATTTGTTTCTTTAAACTCATACGAAATAACATTTTCCTCTAATAGGCTTTTTACAATAAGTTATTACCTTTTAGAGTCTTAAGTTGTAAGAAACTGACCAAGCATAGTTGATCATATTCTTTTCACATTCGACTGTGATTGGTCAATTTCTTACGACTTAAAACTTAAGCTTAGGTAATAGCTTATTGTAGAAAGTCATTACATATTTCGTATTTTCGATTATAAATGAAAGATTAAGGCGGATTAGATATAGGACACCTACGCATAGATGTATGTGTGTATATCTTTTG